ACCGCAGAGAGTAAGGAGGGTTGTTGCACTTAAAAAGCTCATAGCTGGATATTGGGTGGGAGCTCTTGCGGGCGCTTACCGGCTCTTTCTCCTTTCTTGCTGGGGATGCATTCCTTTCCTTTCTTGGCCGGGATCCGGAGCCGACACTGTTGGTTTGAGACAATTACTAGAGTGTTCAATCAAAACGCGTAGAGTAAGAGAAGGGGAAAGAAGTCTCGACAATCACAAAACCTTCGCAAACGTGAGGTCTATACCATAGTCCTCACTCAAGTGACTTTTGCATCATGTGGTATTTTTCCACTATTTTACATCACTCTGGCGCCAAGATGTACGCATCAAAATTCAAACTTGGAACTAGACCTCGAGTATTCAAGATCGCGGAAAGGAATCTCGGTAAACGCGTAAGTGTGAAACGAAAGATAACTCCACTTGAAATCACTGACCAAACTCGGTGCGTAGAAGATTGAGAAAAACCAGCGAGCGGAAAAGGCACTCCCAGGCAATCATCATGTTCGAATTCCTTATAGTATACTAAGTATATAGTATGGGCGAAATAATATAAAGCAGCAGCTTTTTTCGCATCCCATTCGAACCTGAATCGGGTCCATCCATCTGGTGCATAGATCCGCACAAGCGGGCCAAAGCCCTCCTCCGTGCAAGCACGGACTTGAACCGGCAACCTTGGCTTCAGGAGCCAAGTCTCTTGAGTCTTAACCACTACAGCCAGGACATGGTGTTATAAAATGGAACCATACCGGTCGTGAGAGCCGCATTTGGGGCAACTTTCAGTCTAGATACAGCAAAATTGACCATACGTTCTACTCGGGTGGTAGTATGGAAAAGGGAGAACGATTAATAGGTACTAGACAGCAACATTGAACGGAAGGGCTGCTCGCAGCACTTCAGATGAAACCGAGAGTGACGCCTGTGCGACTGGGTTTCAGGTGAAACCGAGAGTGACGCCTGTGCGGGATACTCTCCACCATTAACCCTGAGGTGAGGCAGGTTGGTACCTATGCTCTTAAGCTGAAATGCCAACTGCCCTCCCCTGAACGTGCACAATACAACAACAAAAAAAAAAAAAAAAAAAAAAAAAAGAAGAAGGAAACATTGAGAGGAGGATTCGAAAAGTCTTCAGTTCGTCAAAACAGACTCAAATAATGACTCATTCATTCTATAAGGGACACAAACAATCAGACATTTTAAAAACCAGCAATCTGAGAATAATTGCAAGGCAACTATGATAGTCAAGCTTACTCATTTTATCACTTTACCAGCCGAGAACTGGAACAACAGGCGCACAATCAATTAAGAATTTGCGATAGCAAGAGAATACACACACCAAAATGGAAAATGTATACATGCAAAGAGCCAAATACATTCACATGAAATCACACAGGTTGTCAATTCATATGAGAAAATGATGAAGATGGCAAGAGATATGCCCAGAAAT